CAGAGTGCTTTGAATACGAAGGGTATACAAAAAGAAACGGAACTTTTGAAATAGCGCGACAACCGGGAGATGGAGCGTTCTGCGGCCACTGAGCGCATCTTGAGGCTAGCTTAAACAACAAACTGCCAGTTGCCGCATTTCGTTCTGACTGTTAGTTTAGACGATACAGCCGCTGAAGTGAACACATGCACACGCTGTTTGTCGAACTAGTGCCATAGCGATAATGAAAGAGGTTAAAGAACAACGCGTGGTTCTGAAATATTGCTGCAAACGACAACACTTTTACAGAGAAATGTTTGTTGCTTAGCCAAGCATACGGAGAGGAATATTTGAGTCGCACGCAGTGTTGTGAGGGTTTTAAGTGTTTTGAATAAGGAAGGATGTGAATCGATGCCGATCTAAAGCCTGGACAACCTTTAGCATTAATACATGATGACCATGTCCAGAGGGTTCGTGCTTTGATCCGTGGAACTTATCGTTTAACTGTTCGAAAACTTGCGGACGAAGTGTGTATCTGCATTGGATCCTGCCATAAAATTCTAACACGGTTGAGGTATGCTATGTGCAGATAGAAGCCTGACCTGTGGTAAAAGCAAGGTTGGATGTTGCATCATGACAGTGCGCCGGTCCACACGTAGCTGGTTGTCCGCAGCTATCTAACTTAATAACACACTCCGTCGGGCTCGATCCAAAGTATTCTCCGGACCTAGCCCCGCGGCTTTTCCTGTTTCCCAAACTTAGAACGACATTGAAGAGACATCGCTTCGAAACCGTAGCCGAGGTTCAAGACAATGCATTCCAAGCGACATACCGCAAATAGAAGCATCACTGGGAAGGGTGTATTGGCAGTAGGAAGGACTAATTTGAGGGGAAAAGTGCTTAAAATGTCGTGTAATAAACAGGAAAGATGTTATATAGAAGCTTTTTTATTTGGAACACTCATGATAGCTTAGCATTTGGGACGTCTATGTATTGTCCGTATTTCATCTCAAGAAGTTTTAACCTGTTACTCCAGGGTTATCGGATGCCTATGGCTGTCCTTACCATTGCTGGTGAAATCCTGGAAAAAATCCCCTGCTTCCCTTATCTGTGAAGTTACTTCAAAGCTGGCGGCGGTGTTGGAGATGTGGTGTCCCTACGGATCGCAATGACCCGACTTGCATTCACCAAACTGAGAAACTCATGGCGCCGTCGCGATGTCAGTCTCAAGCTCAAGAGCCGGACATACCGTGCATTTGCCCATGCGGTTTTCCTGAAAGGCTGTGACTCGGCCTGTTCGATCCAATGACCCGAAACGATTGTTAGTTTAAACAATCAATGGCTACGTAGGATTGCTCGCGTGTGGTGGCCACATCACTGAAGCAACACAGAAATCCGAGACCGATTGCTTGAAGCAAATTGCTATGTCACTAAGACGTTGTTCTCTGACAATGCATGCGTTAGTTTGGCCACGTACTGCGTAGGCCAGCCTACCGACTTCCTTTTTGAGCATTATATGCGCTTCGCGGAAACGACTGGAAAAAGTCTTGCGGAGGACAATCAATGACACAGAAAAGGAACATGAAGAACGCAACCTCAAGCTTAACATCTTTCAAACCGGTCCGTCTCCCAGGCTGGGGAGCATGCGACTTTGAAAATTAGTGGTTGGAAAGGTTGAATGTTATAGCACGCAACAGGAACCTGTGGCGCCGGATTTTTCTAAAACTTCATCTATTACGTAATGTATAATTGAAAACAACGAACTCCAAAAACACTTCAAATGGTGCGCTTAAACCCAAAAAAGCTTTATGGCTATTGTTCTTCATATATATATATATATATATATATATATGTATATATATATGCGTAAAGGGAATGTCTTCCCCTATAGCAACACGCTAAACCTTGGATTGTTTACCGGTCATCGTGGTCGCCCACTGGTTAACTTTTAATGACCTACCAGAATAAGGGTAAACCCAATCATGTGTGTAGCCATCTTCTGCAACTTAGTAGCCGAAGTGCTGCTCGCTACAGTCGGATAGGCAATATAGCCGGACAGGTTGTCACCAAGGCCTTTTTCTATTCGGAACTTTCACAACTACTTTGTAACGACGCCGATACTGGGCTTATTTAAAACGTCTTTAAGATATTTTGACATACATATCTCATGAAATACTTCCAGTGTTCATCGGAAGAGGGCATAAAGTGAAACTTGGTGCTGAACATCATTCCACCTCACAATCGAGGCTGGTTGATGCATTTGTGTAAAATATAAATACAGGCTCCAATTTGTATATACTTCTGCCTTTTACTCATTTGTTACTCCTCTGGTCACCTCAGGGGACTTGTCAAGCGAATACGTTTTCACCCATATATATATATATATATATATATATATATATATATATATCGGGCTGATGTCGCATTCATGATGCTTCTTCACCGCAGTTGGGCTAAACCAGCATACACTTTAACTAGGTCTTTTTAATGTGGATAAAATTCATTACATTTTATTTGGTTTGTTCTGTGTACTTGATAATCTTCTGCCAACTTACACAAATCGCTCATGCAAATTATGGTAAACTTGCGTAATTTTATCGCGTGGTATTTTTAAAATAACATTCGGACATTTTGTGCTTATCACGTATTCGCAATTAACCAATTTCTTCCATATGCTCATTAAGCGAGTATTTAAATCGGCACATACGTTTACTTTATTCGATGCCGGCATTTTGAATGATTGGTTGTTGTTTGACATTCTCGGTGTGGCTGCGCTTGATGTGCATGTTGGCAAGGTGCCTACCTGTCTATTATCCACTACCTCATCCATCTGGCTCCAGGAGGCAGTTGGTCGTTGCTGGAGAAGACAAGCTGCACGGTTCTTGTGGCCGTGCTAGGCTCAAAGAGCGGTTCCATGCACTCAGTGTGGGGCGGACTACAGTCCAACCACCGCCTTGTGTGCGCTTGATTCCCAAATACAGCGTGCTTGTGTTTGCCTGTGAAGGAGTGTGGGCCGGCTCTTTTGATGAAACGTGGCTGACATCCATATGCCTTCCGGTCTTATTCCTTCGGGTTTACACTGGATATGGGGTGTGTGGTTGGAGCTGTGGGTGGGGCAGCGCAAGCCACCCATGGTCCATCTGTAGGCGCAGGCGTCCTGTGGCTTGCCACAGTGACAGGCGAATGCGAAACCGGATGCCGCCAACCATATATGGACAGCGGCAGCATTCCGGAAGCTAGAGTATCGATTGTGGAACAATCATCAGCTTACCTTTGTCACGAAGCTGATGGTCTACAAATCCATGGTGTTGTTCGTTCTTCTTTACGGCAATGAAACGTGGACGATGTACCGGCGGGATGTGCGGTATCTCGAGCGGTTCGATCAACAGTGTTTTTGACGGATTCTGCGTATCGGTTGGGGCGACAAAGTTGCGGACACGGAAGTGTTGCGCCGAAGTGGAATGTTTGCAGTGGACTGCATACTTTCACCGAGATACCCGGGGTGACTCCGTCACGTGAGCTGTATGGATTCGACGCGGACATCGTAGCAGCTATGATATGGTCAGCTGAGTAATGGGAAGCGGCATGTGGGGAAATCGAAGTTACGTTACCAAAACATTATCAAATTGAGCCACTTGCATCCTAATCTTGATTGCTGGTCATGAGAATCGAAAACGTTTGATCGCCCTGCATGGCGCGATCTGATCACGAAGGCCGTCGCCGAGGTGCAAGAGAAAGTCCTCGTGCCTGCAGAGAAGAAGCAGCAATTGCGGAAGCGATAGACACCAATGGGCTGCACTCCATCGACATCTAGCGCATAGTGCTGTAGCACATGCGGTCGCGAGTGCCTGAGCCAGACAGACCTAGTGAGCCATGAGCGTGGCCACTCAGCGCCCCTACCGAAGCGACGATGGGTCCTGCAGAGAACGTAGGCAGAACCGGCGTAGCGTTTGTAGGTACGCTGCATTCGATTTACTAACCGCGTGCTTACATGCTGAGTCACTTTATTTCAAGTGGTGGGTTTGCCATATTGCCCCAATGCTTTTTTATATTGATGTCTGCCTGAAATATCTTTTATGAACTCGCACATGGCACTTTAGCTAATTGCAGTTAACTTCGATAACATTTTTGTGATTGTAGCATTTTCTTATGATATATTTTCTGACTTATTGAACCTATCACGGATTTTTGCAGCCAATTTATTTCACACGCTCATTTAGTGGAGAGTTATGTCACCGTATCTGTATGCACTATTCGATCTACTTTACTTGATATCGTCGTTTCAAGTGATTGGCTATTGCTTGATATCCCCGGTGTGGCTGCGCTTTATGTGCATGTTGACAAGGTGCCTATTTGTCTATTACCCACTACCTTGTCCATACTGGCTCCAGGAGACGGTCGTTCGTGCTGGAGGGGACGGGGTGCACGGTTCTTGTGGCCGTGCTAGGCTCAAAGAGTGGTTCCATGCACTCAGTGTGGAGCGGACTACGGTCCAACCACCACCTTATGTGCGCTTGACGCCCAAATACAGCGTGCATGTTTTTGCCTGTAAAGAAGTGTGGCCGGCTTTGTTGTTGAAACGTGGCTCCCATCTACATTCCTGTCGGTTTTATTTCTTCGAGCTTACATTGAATACGGTGTGTGTGGTTGGAGCTGTGGGTGGTGCAGGGCAAGCCACCCTTGGACCTTCTGTATGCACAGGCTTCCTGTGGCTGGCCACAGTGGCAGGCAAATCCGAAACCGGATGCAGCCAACCATATATAGCACCAGTCTAGCAGACGGATGTTGAGCTATACAAATACATAATATCACTTTGTCACCTGTTCTCGGCCCGCTGTTCTGGGTCTGCGGTGGATAGCGGACCGGCACTACATCCTAAACCGCCAACATACCAAAGTTTTATGTTTACAGTGCAGGCCGTTGTATCATATCTTAGATACGATGTTTAAAATGAATAGGAGTACTGCTCAAGTGCCCAAAGCTCAAGGTGCATCAAACGATCGTATCATAGTGAAACTCACTTCGGACGAAGTCTCTCCGGATGAGCCGGGTGCAACGGCGTCAACGGCGTCACGCGTCCCATTCCTAAATGCATACGAATAAGACCAGGTGAACTTGTCGAATATGTACGAACTCGGGAGTTAGAATAATCAGAGCGAATACCAAGACAGTGAGTGGCTGACTAGTCACAAGGGAGCATTTGAATTTGGATTGCCTTGTTGTAATGTAGTTGATGCTAACGTGCAGGGCTTACTGAAATATATGTGTACTAATAAGCAAACATGGTTTAAGCCGACAGAGCTTAGCAGGTATTCTGTTTGGAGCTGCCATCTCCCGACACTGCAAGCTATGAGCGGCCGATTTCGTCCTGATTTGGTCTCGTCAACTGGAGATAGCTGGAGTTGTGAGGAGAGCCTAACACGGTGGTTGGTATGTTTCGTCTTGATTTCTAGGCAGGATGGCGCAAGGCTCGAGGTGGACAGAAGTTGACTTGACAGCGGGAAATGAAGTCACTGACAACCAAACTGGGTGCCGTTGGTCCGTCTCGCCTTCCGGGTTGGAGTCCACGTGACTCACCTTGTGCTTGGCTCGAGACTTTACAGGACATGGCTCGCAACCGACACCAGTGGCGCGTCTGCTGCCGTCTCCTAATCGGATTGTCTGTTTAAAGTGTGTTTGGTGCTGAGTTATCTGCGGGGTAATGGCTGATTATGACGCGTGGCAGTGAAAGCCGCAAGGAAGCTGTCTCGCCGATGCCGCCTTATCTTTGCACGATAGCCAGCTGTTTGTGACGGTATGTTGTTAACACAAGGTGTAGGCGCCTTGACCCTGAATGTTTGCTTAGGGCATTAAGGTTTTCAGGTAAGTCCCCCTTCTCTCCCTCTTCTTATTATTTATTTCATAGTTCCTCATGGTTGTATGGCAGCGAAGCATCAGTTCAAATGGCTGATGTACTGCTGTTGATGATGATGATGATGATCTAGGCCGGAGTTTTACAGTCGCGCTTGTCGTCACTGTGTCAACCGCTGGGGCAAACCACTGTCCTCTGCACAGTTCGTAACTGTTATGGCAGAGGAAGGCCAGCCACGTTAAAGAGTAGTCAAATGTCAGTCCTGAACGTCCGCCGACGTCACCCATGGCTTAGTATCACAACTGCTGCGATCCGACAGCGGTCCGCTGAACGTGCGCCAGTGACGAGACCCAGAAGTCCGAAACAGCTGTCTCGTGCTTTTCCAGACGTGTGGGATCTCGCGTGAGTGAGGGTGGACTGTGACGAACTACAAATGGCATTACACTAAAATTCCCCCTACTCAAAAATGGCCAGCTCGTCTGGTAGCATCTAAGTTCCAAGTTTTAAGAATACTACAGAAGACAGGGCCGGCTCCACAGGGTAACAGCTTTCTCCTACAGCTATCTTGTAAAAAGTATCATTTGATGCTGCTAGGGCAAATTCTTCTATAACCCACAAGACAATAATATCGAAATTCTATACTCATAAGCAGTCGAAACATTTACTCTACAAGCTCCTAAAGTCTGTCATATACAACTTTTTTTCATGGTACCCGTGATCCCGTGGGGACAGCCCTGTCCCCTGCAACGTTCGTTAGATGTATGGTAATGGAAAATAGTTTGCACTGGATCGCATTTAGCTTGTAATTTAGGACAATTTTTACCGCTGGTGCCTGTGATCAATTGGGATGAGCTGCTGGATAGTGGAGCGACATGCTACTGGTCACGGGGTTCGGTCCCTGATGGAGCCGGTAGGTGCGCACCCCTGGTTCCTACCAATAGGACGAACTATTTGTCTGATATTTTTCTAAATTAACGCTTAAACCATCACACATGCAAGTTTCTGCGTGAAGTTTTAATAAAAGTCCATCAAGGTCCCTTACACTTGAGTAACCAACACATTCGATCTAACAGCTGCGAACTGCTTTGCCGTACCTAACTGTTGTTAGCGGAAGTTGTGACACATAGGGTCATCCCCGGCCTGTTCAAGAAATGCCATTGTGTCTTACGATGCACACCACACTGTGGTCGCTCAGCCATTCCATCCGACACCTTACGTGAAAGTCCTCGGTGCATTTCCACGCTGCGAGATAAATTCCGTAGACAACACGAACAGGCTTTACAAACTCGGACTTCGTCCGCTATGGCAACTCAAGCGTAGCTTCTGCAGTTAATCCAAAAAGCTTGTCTCTCGCTTCTTCGTTTTCATTATAGGACCTATGATAGGGTATAACTCATTCGTACACTGTCTACTCACCCGGGGTGAGGTGCAAAGGATTGTGGGGGTACAGCCTGAGGCCACCTGGCTTATCCCCAATTTACGTGTGTGCCTTACGAAAATCGGTGTAAGGGGTAAGGAATTCACAACCTGTCTTATCGTCGATTTTGGGTGATTAACCCATCTTGAGGTCGCTGCTCCATAAGCACGTACCAAGCGTCACACAAGGCCACCGTACATGCTTGTACTAAAGCATTTGAAGCGAGTCGGAAAGAAAGTGGTGAATATTTGGAGCAACTTGCCGCCGCGCGTATTGGAAGCAAAGTCGATGTCTAAAATAAAATTTTTCCGGACAAGCGCTTTGCCGAAATGTGATACCGTGAAGGTTCTCCAACATATTTGGCAACTGTACCTGAGAGAATTTAGCTGCGGCTACACAGAGATACTCTTCTCTCTAATTAATCACCAGCAGTTCTAGACAGGGTAGGTTCCGACACCTTGCCCTACTCACAAACTTCCAACATTAACCTTAATTAACCTCGGTTTAGTAGGTTAGAAATATCCACCTGTTCCCCTGTTTTCATCCTTCATAAACATTATCATACCTCGAACAAACTGATCCAAATATGGGAACGCAGAATGCTTCAACCGCCGTCCGGTTTCAATGGAAATATACATTTTCACCTGCTTACATAAGCAAGTTGAAGAGCATTTCCTAGATTGCGGCTTTCCAGCAATTTCAAATATCTACAATGGGTGTGTCTAAAAGTTTACGGGATTCTTCTAATTAACCTCTTTGTGTAAAGCAACATAAAAGCACAAATAAGCACTTACCTCATAACGGCATCCGTACTCCCAATCTGTCCCTCGACTTTGTCGGCTTCCGCATCTCTGACCGGTACTTTGGTGTGGCTGAGTTGTAACTGTTTGGTCATACGGGTCAAACAATTGGTGAACCGCTTAAACGTTGGCAGTTTTTGAGTAGGTTCGGTGGACTCCGTCGAGGAGGTCGACGCTGGAATCTTGTCGACTTGAATTTTGGGCAATCCCAATCGATCTGAAAGCAATCGCAACTGCAGGTAAGATATGAGAAAGAAGGTATACTAGGACACAAACTCTCTAGCTGAACTAGCCGCCCCACTCGTTCACATATGACCCAACATCTGTGACGACATGCAGACCATGTGTCAACTGAATTCCGTGCATGAACCAACCTATCAGATCAACAGAAAAATACTAGCGGACCCATTTCTTCATGTGTTAAATCTGCATTTGTCTGAAGTAAACCTGAAACTATTATTGTAGTTGAAGAAAGCGATTGGTGACAACTCGATGTTTAATGTTGCAAACAGCGAATCTGAAGTGCATGAATATTTAATACAATCTTTGGTCCTACTTTAACGGGGCGCTCAATATAATAAAGCTTACAATGGAAGTGGATCATAACACCTTTTAAGCTATTTGATACCTTCGTCTGTTCCATATATGCAATTATTAATGTAATCCGTGAAGTACCTAAGCGTTTTACATGCCATTAATTTCGACATCATAATTCGCATTAAGGTCTGCGATGGACTACCAGATATTTTTCCGACAACAACCTACATCCGTTGGCATTGCGTAACTGCACCGCTTGCATATTGTTTTTATTGGAAGAAAACCAAGGAAAATTGTTATGTAGATACACATGACAGATGTGAAAAGGTTATGTGAGGCAGAAAGTATGTTGTTTTAAGTTAGGAAGACGTTACTTTCTTTTTGTTCCCGGAACGCGGTGGTACTTTTAATCCCAGAAAAAGTCACAAGGAGCACTTCATCACTCAATACTTTTCTCAAGCCTTTGAAGTGCAAACGATGAAGAACAGACTGCTCACTGCTTAATTCCCTCTCCTGGCAGTTGAATTGCCGGCAACTGAGTAGTAAATATTGACATTTGTCCACATATTAACACATATTACAGCAGTTACTGCACCTTTGATCCCAAAGTTCATGTTGAAAGTCATTAGTAGAAGGAGTTCCCGGCGGTGGGATAGGAATATAGTTGCTTCGATCTCGTGCCTTCAAACTTTTGACCATTATTTTCTAAGGATCCACGTTAGCTAATTTACACTAAGGAGAAGCGCTGGCCAGTACCAGGTAGCGATGTGCTTATCCGTTTCTTAAGTTTACCGAGACTGAGAGCCACTGGCATGCACACGAGCTTCGTTCCCTGACCCATATTTTACTGGACTGTCAATCTTTGCTTGCCCGATGTTGATTGGCATACAGCACGCTGCGGCAGCCATTGATCTTGCAGCGGGAAAGCAATTCACGAACCACTACAGCGAGCCTTGTTTGTCAGTCTTACTTTCCAGGCCAATGTAAATGCCGTAAACCGCGCGCTTAACTCAATACAGGTTAGCACAAACAGACAAACGTCTCCTGGTCGAGTTACTTCAGTAAGATTTGCAATATGTAGATTTGTCTGCGGAGATGATGAGTATGGCTGGGGTCAGCAAAAGCTAGATGGATGTTGTCCCGTCAAAGCCGCCTTACCTACTCCAAATGATTTCCAGTTCGTTGCAACCGAGTGGTGTCGGTAAGGTGCAGCCACGTTAATCCGATACATTTATTTCGAATATTTAGTCCAAAGTCTCAGGCCCCCAAGTTCTCTCAATTATTCTTATCGACAAGGTCACTTCTATTGTACGAGTTGCTGCTGGCAAATTTTTTGGCAAAGCTAGGTTCTCATTCTAAGATTCGTACTGAAGATTTGAAACAATGTATATATGCATCTGTTACACAGAGTACTTTTGTTCATCATTTTTTAGCGACTTGTGTAGATTCGTACAAAATTCTCGGGTTTTCTCTGTTTACAGATCCCACAATGACGGGTATCTAAGTTGCTACCAGCTACCTTGAAGAGACGCAGTGTCAGAACCATACTTTCCTACACACAGACATACATCTGACCCGTTAGGCTGTATGCAGATAGTTTTCCGCTTTACTAGAAAACGGTATACATGGACGTGCTCCGAGAATAATTAAATGCTCGTGCCCAAATTGCTCTTCAGTTTTCTTACTCAGCTTTATGATTACTTACTTTTAACCGTAGCGTGTATGTTACCACCGGATACTTGCCCTACTTGAATAAACCAAGAACTCTCTTGAATAAATTACATAGTGTAGAGCAAAAGTTATAACTGTCCGAGGAGTGTCCTAATTCTGGTGTATCAGAATTTTCTAAACTCGTCACCTTTGACGCTATCGCGCGTAAGTTATCAGCAAAACAAACCTAGAGGCCACCAGATGAAACTAGTTACGCAGTACAACCAGCCGGAATGCGCAGGGACCTTCTGCCCTCCGGATTTGTCAAGCGTGGTGCGCTCTTCCGCCTTGGTGGTGGTCTCGCGAGAGCCAAGCATCTGCACTGGGCACAGGTACCCTGCTGCTGCCTCAATTTGCCCCGTTTTTAAAGAATTTCATGCAGCCATTTCCCTTCAGCAATTTCAAGAGAGCAAGAACGAACAGCATTTATGCGGGATAACCTGAATTCAGATTATTTCGTCTTCTCATTTAGCCGCTTACAGACAAATCGTGGAAAGAGTAAGGGAATGCAATTGAAAAAGGGGGTCGAAAGGAAAATCAATAAAACGCTGAGCAAACTAAGGTCATTGCCTACGTCTTACGAGGGCAAGGCAAGACTGGCCACAAAATCTACCCGTTTGCAAAGGTTTGGTTTCATTCGTCGGATGGCCGAGGCTTCAGCGAAACGAAGCAAGCTCGCGTTGTTTTGTCTGCTGATAACCTTGAATGCGTCACTTGGGTTTTCGCACAAGGTACAATCGAGCAGATGCTGAGCGATGGAGCTGGCAGGGAGTTTAGGTCCACTATTTGCCAGGTTCCGTGGAACAAGTTCCATGATCCTAGTTGATAGCCTTCTCTCGGTTCAGCCAATGTACATGCTACCGCAAGTACAGGTGAATTGGTAAACACATGAGGCGGTAACCTAAGAGTGAGGCCTATCCAAGTTGGATTCATGGAATAGCTTCTTGGCTTGATGTAACAACATGAGCTCAGCTGCGTAGTAGCACCCTTTTATGGCTTGGCGTAATCGGTAGCACCAGCTTCTGTCGTTCTGTTCCCCTTTGTATGGTAGCGTGATGAAGACCTTTTTCTTTGGGACATCCATTCGTGTTTCTTTCTTAGTAACCTCATTCCCATACATGGCGATGAATTTATTAGGATAGCCAGTATTGCGTAGGTAAGATTCGATGTATTGTAATTCAGCCTCGATTGACTCTTCAGAGCATATTCGGTGTGCTCTAACAAAACAAATTCGAACTAGGGATCGTTTATAGTTCATTGGACACTAACTGTTGAAATGTAGATATTGTCCGGTCCAGCTCGGTTTCCGGTAAATCGATCTTATGTGTGAACCATCTGCTCTTCTTTTAAGTGAAACGTCAAGAAAATGAAATGAGTCCTCTGATTCACTTTCCATAGTTAACTTGATGTTAGTATGACATTTGTTTAACGTTTCCAAAAGGGCTTTCGCTTGTTGGACAGTATCAACTACAACAAAAGTTTCGTCAATATACCTCGTGTAAAAGTCTGTTGCTCCAATGACATCGCGTAATAAGTTACTCTCCAAATTACCCATAAAGATGTCAGCTAGAATCGGTCCGAGAGGGCTACCCATCGCCACGCCTTCAATTTGACGATACATATTCCCCTTAAAGCAAAATTGGTCGAATAGACAATGCATAACAGAAGTTTCATCACGTGACATCACGTGCATCTCGATCATCGAATACCGACAAAACGCAAACAAATGCTGCTCACCAGCTTCACGAAAATTGAGTAGAGATCGGCTCACTGGCGTAGCAGCTGTTTATGCCGATTGCTGTAATAGTTTCGATTCCTGCCAGTTGTAACTTCATTAAGCCACACTAGTGCGAATAGCCCTACAATATTTCATTGTACAGAATAAACAGAGCTACACTTTTAGTGTGTTTCCGTAAGTGAAAAGCATTTGTATTGTTATAATGCTGGTGAACAAAACTTGCAAATACAATTCTCATACTTTCGGCAAAATTTCAAGCCAACTCAGGTCATACTAAGCTTTGTAAGTTCTAATGGGTACGTGATCACCACTGCGAACTTACCAATGTAACAAGCTCTCGCGGAGCATGTTTTTGCTTCTGCTGGGTTAACAAACAAACACGCTAGACAGGGCAAGACGATATTACGATATGATACGATGAAGTGGGAGGGAGTAAACTTTTGAATTTCGTACACGTGAAACTGTGCAGTTTAGAAATCGGTCAGTTAGTCCCTTGGAAGAAAAGCTGTTACGGACATCAAGATGTTGAGAATTGATCAATTCAGCTGAAGAATCTCTAGAAAAGTCTCCACGTCTAGAAATGTGCTTCATAGATCGTACCAATAAGATGTAGTCCTCCTGAAGCACATTTAGGAAAGATAACAGGAGGGAAGTACATCCAATGGGGATAATGCACGAAGCCAACGATAAATATCGCAGTTCGGGGTACTGAAAGCACCTCAACTCTGAAAGCATTAAATGAAGGTTTTCTGAGTTGATAGCAACTTCACAGACAAGCTACGACTAAGAAATATTCTGGGACAAAAAGATACCGATATACATTACCATAAATGATCTGTGCATGGGATTTTCGTTCACAGTAACGAGAGGTGAGATGTCTATGAGGGCTTGCAACCTACCAGCACAAAGAAAGGGAAATATTACCTCATTGCATTTAAAAGCACTAAGTATGAGGTATTTGGAGTAGGTTACTCCAGCAGGTCTTCTAACCCACGTTGAAGTGACAAGACAACCTGAATAGTAGGGGCCATACAGCCCAGCACATCTTCGTCAGCATAATTGCATCCTATCAACATGCTCTGTTTGGGAAGACCCTCAATATATAAGGAACACCAGAACACCCTAGTCGGGACAAAGGACACAGGATATCGCAACGTTTGACTTGGTAAATAGAGTAAGATGCGTAAAATAGTCAAGCAAAAGGTTACCCATACACCCGGGTTAACTTATTT